GGGGGGGGGGGTAGCAGAGAATTTAGCGCTTACTTCAAGAGGTCTAATTCTCGGATAAAAGATTGTGTCGATTGCTTGAGGACGCTCTTCAAATGACCAATACGTCTTTAAGAAATCCAACGCTAAATTAAGCAACACTTCATGGTGATTAGTTTCCGATATCCAAACCGTCTTCACGAAAGTGATTTCTTTCGTTTCCTCTAGATCAAATAAAGAGTTTGAGATGGGTTATCCTTTCCACGAGCCACAAAACCACAATAACTATATCATTAGGCTTCAGACTGGATCCGTTTGGATGGTAGGTCGCGCAGCGTCAAAAGTACGTTATACTGTGCTGATCTAGGATGGAGAATGAAGCCCGTCTCACTTTCAATTCTCCTGTTAACAATTTACAGTGATTTTTTTGGTTTGTTTCTTTTTTACCTTGACTAGGTTCTCGGGCGTTGTCCCCCTGCCCTAGTATGCACTCCTTTAGGATGCGAGTGTACAGAGGACCCCTGGAAGTCTCTTCTTCGTACAACCGAGCGAGTACCATGGCCAGTTGAAGGTCGTGCAGACGACCAATACAAACCTAACAGAAAAAAAAACGAAGTGAAAAATGTTACCTGTAAAAGTACACCGTAGTCCGCACAGTCACAGTCATGAAATTAAGTTTGATTGATTGATAAATTGATTGATTGATTAATTGATTGATTGATTGACAAATATTGAAGAGAAAGGGGAACTAAAGACGACTTTTCATCAATGTTATTAACAGATCTTAAGGACAAAAAAATAATTCAGCACAAAACGAGAGCCATTTCCGATCTTTTACACGTTCAATTCTTAGCTTGAACCTTACGTTAAGGGATATGTTCGCAGTACTTGTTTTAAATCTGCTCCTAGATTCAAAATCCAAATTTCTAGATTCAAGCGGCCTTTAAAGCGAAAGCTACTGCGCACTTGTAGTAGGTCCAGCTTTGCAAGGTGAGTTCTAACTTTTAAATCTGTGGAAAAAATCCTAGAATATGAGCACTCACATAAGGGTACTGATGTACTCAACTACTTTCTATGGAGTGTTTATATGTAATATGCTGTGTAACTGAGGTGGAATCATTACATGTAACATTGCACCCAACAAACCGCAAATTGATACCTGTATGGCATCCCATAAAGAACCTGCAAGAAGGAAAAACGCTGCAGCATGATCAAACCTCTGTTTGCCCAACAAAGAATAAGCATTCTTTAAAGCTGCTTTGCGCCATCTGTCCACCGTGAAATCCCTGGCAAAGAACTGTGACATCTTGGAATCTCTTACAGTTCTAAATAGAAAGATGTGGCGGTTAACAAGTCTTTTCAGGTCCCAGGCGAGAAAACAGCCGACATTTCGCAACACCACCAACGGTTTCTCCGCGAAATGACGTCTCAGCGCAGAAATTCCAAACTGATGACGTGTCAGTAGCTGGATCTGGGTAGTGCTTCTCATTCGTTAATCAAATCTTCAACCAATCAGGCCCCAGTTGTTCAAAAGGTGGACAGCGCTATCCAATGGATAAATCTTTATCCAGTGGATAACCCAATTGGTTTCCCAAATACTTATCCGCAGGATAGTGATTTATCCGGTGAATAGCGCTATCCAACGTTTGAACAACCGGGGCCAGAAGCACTACCCAGATCTGGATAATGACACGTCATCAGTATGGAATTTATGCGCTCGATCCTCAGACGTCATTTCGTGGGGAAACCGTTGGTGGCGTCCAAAAATGTCGGCTCATTTTTCAAGCTACGACCAGAGCAGTAAACCGCGAACTCCAGCACCCAGAAAAACGAAAAGCAATATTTTAAACTTTCCGTATAAGAAAAAAACAAGACATATCTACCGGCCTCAATTATACCATCAACGAAAGAAAGAAAATCGTAGCAGATAAAAAATGTGACGAAAATAACAACATTCAGATGACTACAAACCTGTAAAGACCACAAATGACATTCTTCTTTCTCATGGCGAGGTAAAACAAAGCACAATCAATGGGTTCTTGCTTCTTTGAAAACTGTGCCTTTGCCGTCTGTAAAGGAAGAATATTGGCTCCATGTTATACTCTCGCTACTGTCAGAAAATTTAAACATTCCCTGGGAGAGGGAAGGGTAGGGGAGGGGGGTATCAATACAAAGTTTCGCTCATCCTAATTACTGGTTTCTGAACCGTAAGTGTGAAAGAGGTTTTAGAAAACAAAGGCAAGTCTGGGTAAATGGAGTCAAGGGTGAATTAAAAACGTCTTTGAGTAAAGGCTATACTCTGTACGTCTTTTACGAAACTTAAAACTATCCTTCGCCGCCTGGTTAGTCCAATAGACGTTTTTAGCTTGCACGTTTTGTTTTCCCATTTCAGACTACGTGATGGTACCCGAGAAAACTGTTTTCTTCACATTTCGTCTTATGTTCGAGCATCCACATGCCTATGTATGCATAATTAATGTAAAGACAAAAGGAAATTCCCTGGAAAACATTACGTGGACTGAATTGGGAAAACGGAACATACAGGGTAAAAAGGTGTATTGGTTGAGCACTTGACTTTAAAGTGGAAGACCCAGACTCGATTCCCCGTCGGACCAACACTCAGGCCCCGTCCACACGAAGACGATTGTAAACGCAAACGCTAGTAAACGCAAACTTTTTTATGCGTTTAGGCCTTCCGTCCACACGAAGACGATGAAAACGCTCACCGTAAACGCATAAATTCGAAAACGCTCTCCAAAGTGGATAAATTTGAAAACGCCGTTTATGCGTCTTCGTGTGGACGGCCGTAAACGTATATTTTCGTAAACGATGTGAAAACGCTGACGTCAGATGTCAGCGCCAGTCTCTTTTATCGAGTGCGTTTCCAAGATGGCGTACACACGAGTGTTGAGCTGTGTCATGCTTGCGCTTATTTCAAGCATAATTGCGAGCATTCAATTGAATCATGCAATAATCGATATACAGGAAAACTACAAAAGAAGAAGACTAAACCTCTCAAGATTGTTATCCACAACTACAAGCACTTTTACTCGAGTAAAACGACTTAGATGCAGACGTGAGAGCCAAGAGAGAACATTCTGGACCAGACCAGGTCGTACAAGCGCCTGGTGGAACAACTTTGCCGATCAAGTGGTGATACCAGAAGAGTGGAAAGAGAACTTTCGAATGAGCACAGACTCGCTATATAATCTAGCTGAAGAACTGTTTACGAGCGTTTTCGTGTGGACGGGTTAAAACGCTACGTAAACGATGATCGTTTTCGTGTAGACGGAGATAAAAATATGCGTTTACTAGCGTTTGCGTTTACAATCGTCTTCGTGTGGACGGGGCC